AATACAAAAATCAACAAGAAGTATGAGGGTTCAATCTTTCAATTTCAATTTTAAAAAAACGTTACCCCCACATTAGGATTTTCTCCTGAGTCGTGGAGGCAGTTTACAGACATAAATTGCACAAGGACAAACATCCAGACCCGGAACAATTATTTGTAGGCCATACAAATACTTATTCCGTGCGGGATTCGAACCCGCGGCCTCTAGCGCAACAACTGATTGCTAAGCCACTGCACCACGGAGCCGTCGCCGGGTTATAGGTATAGTGACCGTACGTCCCGTTTTGAACGGGACTGTCCCTTTTCTCGGTCACCTGTCCCATTGTCCTCGAACAAAGCTCCGGGACACAAAATTGTCCCGTAACTCGTTGGATGGAAGTATTCAAAGCCAACAATCTTCAACATAATTTTTTTTAATCGAATATATTTTATGTCTACCTAGTACAAATGCTCCAGTAGAAAGAGTATTTTTCTATTTTGAATAAATTGTAGACGTCTGAAAAAACACTTACGGTTCCAGTTCTAAAGGCGATGTTGTTAACAAAGGTAACAATAAAAAAAACTTGCCCAGAATTTTATTCTTATTTAAAATCATCACCAACTTTATTAATCCCTTACCGCATACCAAGCCATATATGGACACAAAAGTTTATGATTTTTTTCTAGCCTAATGGAAAAGTAGATCTTTAAAAGTACCTTTAATTAGAAGAAGCATAATTGTCGTTATTTCGAATGTAAATCATTAGTCCATGGTAATTGGTATTTTGTCAACTATATTTTAGGTTATTCGTAACGCGTGTAGTCGGCCGGTGTCAGAAAAACAAGTGCAACTTTTGGGATTCTAAATAAAATACTCAACGGTAAGTAAAACGTATTAAAAAATATGACTATATGCTTTATACCCTCTAAAATATAAAACTAGTTTGTTTATTTCAATGCCTAGCTTTTTTCGCATTCTTATTTGTATTTTTTCCAATTTCACATTCCAAAATATTTGGCTTCGTATGCGTTCAAGATTATTGTTTGCTTATTTCAAAAATTGATCCTTTTCACCTTTATGGAAGATTCAAGCATGTTAATAAAATTTCTGTTGATGGCAACTTGAACGCCGATGATGTTTCTTCTACCAGTGATGATGATTTTGAACCTAACTCTATTCGCTAACCACAAAAAAGATATATTGATAACAATATGACTTTTAACTAACTCGGAAACTGTTTACTGTTACAGACTGTATCTATATCTAAAGCTAAAAGGGGAAAGGCTAAAAGGAGCGAGTTATTTAGATAAAGAGGAAAACGCCCGCTTATGACAAAGCTGACTTTGAGTTCAAAGATAACTCAGAATTACCGGAGATAATGCAGCTGTACACAGCAGCAGAGTTCTTTAATTTTATTCACATCAGAAATTATGGATATTATTACTGAGCAATCTAATTTAAAGTCTATTCAGGATAATACAAACAAACCAGCAGGAAGTACGAGAGAAAAAAATAGAAAAGCTTATTGCCAATGCCTTTATTTAATTTCAAACTTGCAGTTTCCAAACACTTGCGTAAAGCAAACAACACAGAAAAACACGTAGCCATCAATCTACGAGTAGTATTCTTGAAACACCGATATCAAGCCGGGGTAGCACTCCCATCATCTTGCCTGATTCTCCAGTACCCACTAAAAGCTTCGAAAAAGTCCTGCTAAACATCAAAAGCTTCCTTTGAATTCATTACGTCGTGATAGAATTTTCATTTTCCCATTTGGGAGAAAAATACTCGACAGATACGCCAGTATTGTACAAAATATCGTTCTTTCATTAAATGTGAAAATCGTAATGTTTATTTATGTAAAATGTACAAACGCAATTGTTTTAAAGAGTTCCATCAAATATAATTCATATTTTTCTTAAACACATACGAAGCCATATTTGGATTCCCATTAGATGACTAGACTGCATACGAAGCCATACATGGCTTCGAGTAATAACTTCTAATATATAAGTTTATTATTTTTTATTTCAATTTGATCTCATTATGTAAGCCTAATTAGCCACTATTTCGTATTGAAATAATTTTCATTCCATCTCTTTAATAATTCATGTGGCAAGGGGTTAAAGCAAATTTAATCCACTGACAAATGTAATTAATAATTTAAAATATATATATATGTATATATAATATTGCATTTAATAATTACCGTCTATACCGAATATAATATATAGTGAACACTAATTGTATAAAGTTATAGTTTTTAGAGTATAAATAAACCCATGTCCTGTTTTGAGTTAAAAAATAAATGGTCAGTTTAGTTTTTTTTAGTTAAATTTAGTTTTAAAAATTTTAGTTTAGTTAAATAGGGGTTTTTGGGTTGTAATTAAATGATGCCCGGGTAGGTATTACTTAGTACTTACTTAGTAAAGTTGACTTTGCAATCGCACTAAACAATCTAATTGAATATAATATTGTTGCGCGCCACTATTAATGTCTTGTACATGGCAACACTAGTTACACTAGCGCCCCCTAGTGTCGAGTAAATGAAAGTATTGCGTGCCACTATTAATGTCTTGTACATGGCAACACTAGGTACACTAGCGCCCTCTAGTGTCGAGTAGCAGAACTAGGAGAGTCAAGATCCTTCCAGAAATTTCGGGACCGATATGTACTCGAACATTCTAGATGTCGCTACAGTAGAAGATTCTGGAAACTATCTGAGGCCCTATATAAGGCCGGTATAGACCACGACCGAGGCAGTATTGAATTGGCGATACAAGAGAATACTTCGAAGCGAAATAACGGCGAACTGTGTTTTATTATTAGTGTGATTTTAGATTGTAATTAGTGTTGTATAATTAAAGTGTCAATTTTGGTAATTCAATCGGCAGTTTTTAATTGTCTCGAACCCCAAGCTCGTAACAATTGGTGTCAGAAGTGGGATCAAATATGCCGATTTTACCTAAAGACGACACCGAGGGTATCCGTACCCGAAGTCAACGCCAACAGGAGACGGACCAGAGACGATTTGGTGGTGCAACGTCACAGACGTCGGCAGGCCAGTTGCCGACCACGGAGTCCGGCCCGTCAGCAGCTCCTGCATCTGCAGCACCTGACTTAGGTACTCTGATGATGATGCTGCAGGAACAAGCTCGCCGACAGGAGGAACAGGCCCGCCGACAGGAGGAACAGGCTTGTCGGTTGGAAGAGCAGCTGCAGCGCGGACAGGAGGAACAAGCCCGCCAACAGGAGGAACAGGGCCGTCGGTTGGAAGAGCAGCTCAAACGCGATAAGGAAGAGCAGATACTTCTCATGAAGGACCTTCACGCTACCTTCGGGAAAGAAATAAGTGAGGTGAAGGATAAGGTTGCTCAATATGACAACCGCCTGTCGGAAGCTGAAACCCGAATCGACCAAGTGTACAATCGGGTTGACAATGTGATGGCTGACGTGAAGAAAACGCTGAACGACCTCAAAATTGGGGATGGAGTTACAGCTCCCGTGGTAGCTACAACACCTTCGCTACGTGGATTCAAAGTGCCACCGTTCGATGGAACTTCTTCCTGGTCGGCCTACAAAATCCAGTTCGAGGCTGTCATGAAAGCGAACGGCTGGAATAAAAGTCAGGCCATGACTGCTCTCACCCTAGGCCTGCGCGACCAGGCCTTAACTGTTCTGGAAGCTCTCGGTAAGGAAGTGACTTACGAGCAGCTCCTTGAGGCATTGGAGGCGAGATATGGCGACGCTCACCTGGAACATGTCTTTCGTGCGCAGCTCAAAGATCGCGTGCAACGCAGTAACGAAAACCTGCAGCAGTGGGCCCTTGAGGTGGAGAAGCTGGTTCGAAAAGCGTACCAATCTGTACCTGCGCTTATTGTAAGGAACCTGGTGCAGACATTCATCGACGGCATCCGCGACCTTGAAGTCAGAGCTGCTGTGAGGCTCGGGCACCACGAGACGCTTAAGGACGCCTTGACCCATGCACTGGAGGTAGAAGCCGTGCGGCAGGATCATCGTTCCCACCGCGTCAGGGAGGTTGCAGCAGCTACAGTTCAGGACCGCAATAAAAGCTACAGCCCTAGGTGCTACGGCTGTGGGGAAAGGGGCCATCTTCGATCCAGCTGCCCTAAGCGAACTGTAGAAAGGGAAGGTGATCGATCTCGAGAGGGTAGTGCGGCTAATAGCACCGCCCAGCAGCAGCAGGGAAACGAGTAAAAGCCAGGACTGCGGGGCGGGTGCTGGCTGATGTTAAAAGAGCCCCAAGGATTTCGATCTCACAAACCCATGATGGGAACAGCCTAATCATCAAAGGCGAAGTCAACGGAACGCCGTGTAAACTGACCATAGACACTGGAGCCTCTCGCACGGTTGTCAGTTCCCAACTGATAAGTCGGTTCCTTGGGGACTCCGCATACAACCGAGAACGCATTAATTTGGTGACAGCCACTGGTCAGCGCATACCCGTCCGTGGAGAGAAGGAGATGGAGTTGAAGCTAGGCAACATAATCTACCTGCATAATGTCATCGTGGCTGATATAATGGACGACTGCATCCTGGGCCTAGACTTTATGAGGAAGAATTGTTGTGAGATCGACGTTAAGCAAGGTGTTTTGAAATGTGGACAAGAGGAACTTTTCATGGAAGGGGCGTTACCAGGGAATGTGTACAGCCTTAAGAAGATTGTTCTTCCGCCGAGATCGGAAACGATTGTGCCGGTTAGTCTTCCTCGGAGTCCTGGGCAAGCTCATCGTTGTGTACTCGTGGAAAGGGTAGACAATGACCTTCCATGGAAAGTGGCTTGAACCTTGGTCAGAACCACCGACATCTCAGGAGTACGTGTGTTGAACCTTTGTGATCAGGAACAGATTATAGAAAAAGGCACATTGGTTGGTACTAGTGAGGAAGTGGATTGGTTGCGTCGGTGCGAATATCTATCGACCGGGACCCCTAGCAAGGATGGACAAACGAGAGTGACCACACTTTTAGAAGACTGTCGCAGCGTTCTCTCCCCGAATGAAATGGTCAAGGCGAAGAAGTTGTTACTCAAGTATGCCAATGTTTTCTCGTCAAACGAAGCTGATATAGGAAAGACTGGCTTAGTTCAACACAAAATAAACACAGGACAAGAATTGCCTATTCGTCAGCGGCCAAGAAGATTGCCTGTAGCACGTGAAAAGGAAGTGGAAACCATGATTGAGGGTATGGTGAAGGATGGTGTTATTGAACCTTCATCTAGTCCATGGTGTTCACCTGTGGTGCTGGTAAAGAAGAAGGACGGCAGCATGCGGTTTAGTGTTGACTACCGCCGCCTGACCGACGTTACGAAGAAGGACAGCTATCCCTTGCCTAGAATTGATGACACGCTGGACATGCTCACAGGCGTAAAGTGGTTTAGTACGCTGGACCTGAAAAGTGGATACTGGCAGGTTGAAATTGACCCTAAGGACAAGGAGAAAACTGCATTCTCCACAGGAAAGGGTCTGTGGCAATTTAAAGTCATGCCGTTTGGATTGTGCAATGCTCCAGCAACGTTTGAAAGATTGATGGAGCTTGTACTTACCGGGCTAATTGGAGATGCCTGTCTGGTCTATTTGGATGACATCATCATCGTAGGCCGTACGTTTGAGGAACACCTTCAAAACCTGGAACGCGTGCTCATGAAGATCCAGAGTGCCAACCTCAAGTTGAGTCCAAAGAAGTGCTCACTATTCAAACGGCAAGTTAGTTTTTTGGGGTATGTAGTGTCGGAAGAAGGTATCCGCACGGATCCAGAAAAAATTGCCGCTGTCAAGGAGTGGCCGGTTCCAAAAGACAAGACACAGGTTAGAGCATTTTTGGGTTTGTGCTCTTATTATCGGCGATTTGTGAAGAACTTTGCAGATATAGCCAAACCTCTGCACAAGCCGAGGAGAAGCGACAATTCTGCTGGGATGAAAGTTGCGATATTGCATTCCAGGAGCTCAAGAACCGTCTGTGCAAAACACCTATTTTGGGGTACCCTGATGCGGACAAGGAATTCATAGTTGACACAGACGCAAGTGATTTAGGACTTGGCGGTGTGTTGTCTCAACGGAATGGTGATCAAGAGATTGTGATAGCGTACTTCAGCAAGTCGTTGTCAAAGCCGGAAAGGAACCATTGTGTCACAAGACGGGAATTGCTTGCTGTGGTTAAGTCCTTGCAGCATTTTAGCAAATATCTTCTAGGGCGGAAATTCCACTTACGAACTGACCATGCTGCACTCAAATGGCTATTGCAGTTCAAAAATCCGGAAGGACAAGTTGCGAGATGGATTGAACTACTGCAGGAATACGACTTTGTGATCGAACATCGCAGCGGGAAATCTCATGGCAATGCAGATGCATTGTCAAGAAGACCTTGCCCTGAAGATTGCAAGCATTGTACTAGGCAAGAGGGTAAGGAAGTGGTATCTGTGAGAATGCTCAGGACAGACCAGCTCAGCAATGAGTGGAAGGACAGCCTACAACATGCACAGCAGGAAGATTCGGATATTAAGCCGATTCTGGAATGGATGAAGGCCAGTGCTCCTAAGCCCAAGTGGAGCGACGTCTCAGCAATGAGTTCGACCACGAAAAGCTATTGGGCCCAATGGGACAGCTTGCTGATTCAGGATGGAGTCCCGTGCCGTAAATGGGAAAATGGTCGGGGAGACAGATGTCATTTGCAAATGGTTGTCCCTAAGGCTAAAGTACCGGATGTTCTACAACTGTACCATAGTAGTTCTTCAGGAGGCCACCTGGGAGTTAAACGAACTCTCCTGAAGATCCGAGAACGGTTTTACTGGGTCCACTGTCGTGACGATGTCGAGGACTGGTGCCGCAAATATACAAGTTGTGCGGCTGTAAAGGGACCTCAAATTCGTAGTAGAGGCGCATTGAAATTGTACAATGTTGGTGCACCATGGGAGAGGATAGCCATTGACGTTGCGGGGCCGTTTCCGGAAAGTGAAAGTGGTAACAAGTATTTCATGGTTGTGATGGATTACTTCACTAAGTGGCCAGAAGTCTTCGCCATTCCAAATCAAGAAGCTTCAACAGTTGCAGATAAACTAGTTCATGAAGTCTTCTGTCGTTTTGGAGTACCCTTAGAGATTCACAGCGATCAAGGAAGGAATTTCGAGTCTCAAATATTCCAGGAAACTTGCAGAGTTATGGGTACTCATAAAACACGAACAACATCTTACCACCCACAATCTGATGGAATGGTAGAACGATTTAATCAGACATTGGAAAGGTACCTGGCAAAAGTTGTGGAAAAACGGCAACGAGACTGGGACAGGCACATACAACCGTTTTTGTTGTCATATCGAAGCGCTGTTCACGAAAGTACATCATTGACGCCAGCTTTCGCAAACTTTGGGAGAGAATTACGGCTGCCTGCAGACCTGATCACCGGAATACCACCAGATGCCCCACGCAGTATAACCGATTATGCAAATGACTTGCGGAACAAAATCAATGACATTTATGAGCACGTCAGACAGACGGGCCAGCAAACGTCTGAGAAGATGAAAACACGGTATGACCGCAAAATAAACAACAAGGGGTTTGATGAAGGTTCTCTAGTGTGGTTACACAATCCAGTTCGCAGCAAAGGGAAATCTCCTAAGCTTCAAGCTAAATGGGACGGACCGTACCGGATTGTGACAAGGATCAATGACGTAACCTACCGGATACAGAAAGGTGCCAGAGGTACTCCTAAGATTGTCCATGTAGATCGACTGGCGCGTTATTATGGGGCCAATAATGCTCGGGACGAGCATGTCTTAGGAGGGGGCAGTGTTGCGCGCCACTATTAATGTCTTGTACATGGCAACACTAGTTACACTAGCGCCCCCTAGTGTCGAGTAGCAGAACTAGGAGAGTCAAGATCCTTCCAGAAATTTCGGGACCGATATGTACTCGAACATTCTAGATGTCGCTACAGTAGAAGATTCTGGAAACTATCTGAGGCCCTATATAAGGCCGGTATAGACCACGACCGAGGCAGTATTGAATTGGCGATACAAGAGAATACTTCGAAGCGAAATAACGGCGAACTGTGTTTTATTATTAGTGTGATTTTAGATTGTAATTAGTGTTGTATAATTAAAGTGTCAATTTTGGTAATTCAATCGGCAGTTTTTAATTGTCTCGAACCCCAAGCTCGTAACAATATGTATTACTTTAGAGATAGGTACAATGTGTTTTCATGCGATGGCCAAGTCAATCTATTTATTTAAAATATAAAAGATTTTCAGTATTGATGTGGTCACAATAAGATGTTGTTAGGTTAGCTAATTACGTAATAACTTAAGACAAAAGGACCCCTAAGTAGGGACTGAATAAATTTACCGACTTGGTATTACATGGATCTCACAACTTTTTACGGTAGAAGAACTGAGTTGCGAGACTTGGCTTTTTTTACAAAAAGCCAAGCTTTTATCTCGGTACATCTTTTAAATTTACAATATTTTCATAAGTGACAGGAAACACTAATTTGCCCGTTTGTTCTATTTGCTTTAACAGTATTATAAGTTCTTCTGTATCAGTTATTGACTGGTGTAGTACATTAATGTTACTAAAAGCAATGGCTGTTACGATTTCATTGAAATGGAAATATACATTATGAAAATTATCAAGTAAGATATTATAAAGGTGAATGAGTTTGGTAATCGTTTGCCGAAAATCGAAGTTGTTTAAAGCTTGAATAATGTTTTGAATATTATCTTCTACTCGTAGAAAATTGCTTTTAGTAGGATTTGCCATGGCTGTAGAGGAACTCACCATTTCGGAAACTATTGTCATTTTATTTTTAATCACGTTTTGTTCCGTATGTAGCTTATTTATTAATCTTTCATATCTAAGAGCGTCATTATTATCTAAGTTACCCGTGATAGCTTTTATCAAAGAGCCTACCGGATCGAGGAGACCTCTTTTGGTTCGTAATGGTTCCTCCATATTAAATTATATAATTGTTAAAATTTGTCGATGGTATTGTATAATCGGTTTAATATTGGACGGTAGTAAAATCTTAATCAAATGATTAAGTATCGAAACAACTTTGAACATGCTTTTTAAGTAACCCATATCTATGCATACTTGATTGTAATTCATCGTTAATTAAATTTCAATATAAAATAATCTTAATAACTATCCAATTATCATAATTAACGAATGCAAGCATTCGTCAACAGGTAACAATCCCGGATTCCTGTCAATGCGAAGCTGATGAAGGGCCTGGATTCCCATCTTTCGGATCACCAGTAGAAATAATCTGCGAAAGACGTTTTATGTCTTTAATAGGATCATTAGTAATACGTTTATTGGTTTTAACGGAAACTAAATTTCTTTTTATAGCACCGGTGACATGAGCCTTTTGGCGACGTAGTTTATCTTTGCCCCGTCTAGTATTAACACCTTTTATGAACACAGTATCACCTACGTCTATATCGAACTGTGATTCACCTGCGTGTTTTTCTCTCACCGTCAACTTTTTGTCAATTATTTTATCTGTATGATAATCATATAAATATTTGGACCTTTGAGCGTGATCCTTTACTAACTGCTGTGTGAATTGCTTATCGAAATTAATGGCAAATGTACTATTGGATTCGGTGTGTCCGAATACTACTTCAAAAGGCGTGAGATCTGTCGAAGAATGAATTGAATGATTGTATGACATAATAGCATATGTCATCACTGACACTGCGTCTGTAATTTTATATTCGTTTATCGCGATTCGGTAAATTTCGGTAATAGTTGAATGGAACCTTTCGATAAGTCCCATAGAGTTGGGGTTGTGCGCAGTACCAATGTGTAGATTGATTTTGTATAATGTTAGCATTTCCTTTAAGAGTATATTATCAAATTCCATGCCGAGATCTGAACTAATTTTGGATGGAATTCCGTAAAATGAAAAATATTTTATTAAAGCTCTTATTACTTTCTGGGTAGACCTACTATTAATTTTTTCAATTGCTTGATCCAATTTGCAGAACAGGTCTATCAGGGTTAGAAAATACCTACATTCTATCGAAAAGGTATCAATGAAAATTTCTTGGAATGGTTTAGACTGGGTTTGAGTCAATTAAAGTTGAGGTTTTAGGGGTTAACGGTCGTACTTCATTTTCTTGCAGAACTCACATGAGTTAATGATGCTCGCTACCATTTGTTCCATATTATTCCAATAAAATGTTTACCTCAAATGTACTAATGTTTCCCTAATGCCTCTATGGCAATTATTACCTAAATGATATTTAAGAACTACTTCGCGTTGCTCATTTTCATATTCTACATAGACTATCCTCTTTGTACATTCATAAAATTTAACACTATCCTTTTTGAATAATTGCGTTGTGACTTCCGAAAACTGCTTGCGGTGTAGAACATCTTCGAAATAAAAAAGTATTTCATTTTAGGTCTATTTTCAGGAAATTTTTAATTAAATCCAAATTGTTTAATGGTAAGTGAACTTCCAATATGTTTTGTTTATCCCTAGACTGAACCTTAACGTTAAGTTGGAGAGGTCCCGTCTAATGAAGTCAAAGCTCCGTCCCCCTCGTGCTCTGTTCAGTACTCCCGAAACCTATCAGCTCGAGTTACAAAACCGTTTTCAGTGCCTGGAAGACTGCAATGAAGTGGACGATATGAATGACAAGCTCGTGGAAACTGTCCATGAGGTCGGAGCTAAGTTCTGCAAGACCCGCCGCAGAAAAACACAAAAACTCTTCGATCACACTCTTAATCTCATGGCTGTTAGACAGGAGATGAAGCTACATTCATCAACAGATTTGACAGCATACAGGCAACTGAACAGACAGATCTCCAAATGCATGCGGTGGGACTTGCGCAACTTCAATACAGCTTGTATTGAAGAAGCGATCGAGTGGAACCAAGGCTCCAAAGTCTTTGCCAGAGATCTGTCTGCCAGAAAGAGCCAACTGTCAAAGCTGAAAACCGAGTGTGGCAGCATCGTTTCCGGGACAACTGAGATTTTAAGTGAGATTGAGAGGTTCTATGGGCAGCTGTACACGTCATCGTTGGAGCCACACGCAAGTGTGAGTAACGATCGAAGAGAGAGTCTTATCCGACACTATTACGAAGATATCCCGGACGTCAGTCTGAGCGAGATTAGAATGGCTCTCCAACACCTTAAAAACGGCAAGTCCCCGGGCGTGGATGGAATTACAGCGGAGCTTTTGAAAGCGGGTGGAAAACCGTACTTGTAGTCCTTCAGAAGCTCTTTAATTCCGTCCTCCATGGTGGCACTACTCCGGAGGCGTGAAGCAGAAGTGCGGTGGGCCTGATACATACCCTGCGGCAGATTGTACAGAAGACAGAGGAGTATAATCTGCCACTTTGCCTTGCGTATATGGACTATGAGAAAGCCTTTGATTCCGTCGAAATTTGGGCGGTGCTGCAGTCCCTTCAGCGGTGCCAAGTTGACTGTCGGTATATCGAAGTGCTGAAGTGTTTGTAGAGCTATGATGGCTATCCGAGTACAGAATCAGAGTACGAAACCTATCCAACTGCAGAGAGGTGTAAGACAGGGTGGCGTTATATCCCCGAAACTCTTCACTGCTGAATTGGAAGACGTTTTCAAGCTACTGGACTGGAAAGGATACGGTATTAACATCAATGGCGAGTACATCACTGAAAAGGACAGAGAGGCTCTTCCTGTTTCCTTAAATTCGGCTCGTAAGGAACCAAATAAAAAGGAACAGAGGTAATTTCTTCTAATCCTGCTGCGAAGGAGCAATTACAGGAAGTTAAATCGCTTCTTAATCCGTCTTCTCAAGGGACCAATTGAAAAGGACATAGACCTCTTCTCAAAGGATCAATTGAAAAGGACGGAGCTAAATCCTGCCTAAGACGCCTACGTTGGGTTCGGGAACAACGTATGTGAACCCCGCAACGGAGTAACACACAAGGGCGTGAACCTCTTCCTTTTCTTCAAATAGGTTCAGACGGGGATTAAGGGTCTTCCGAGGTAGTCCCGGTCCCAACGCCTTAATTCTTCAATATGTGCCGCTCCGGCGACACCAGAAGGACTGTACTTATTCTTAAAGGTGAAGGATCCCTTGGGAATAAAACAGCAATTATCTTCAAACCGTTCCGTGAGAGAGTAATAACTTTCCCTATCACTTCCCTATATATTTTTCTTTCTTGATTATATTATATACTGGTAGCTGGTCCCGAACGATTTACATGAAAATCAGTCTAACGGGGTATCAAAAAGGCTATACTCGCAAGAGAGCCGCGCCCTCTATGCAATTTTGCAACTTAATTACATCAATTTGTACTATCACTCCCTCACGGTTTGCTTAATATCTTTATTTGTATAAAACATACATTTATACATTTTATTTATAAAGATAGCACAATAATATATCTATACTATGATATACATTACATTTTCATATCATAAAAAACCTTTTGTTTATTTAACAAAATATGCCTATTTAACAACATATGTACTAAGTTAGAATTCTTAAATATCTAACATATAAGGTTGGAACAATGTTCTTTATTTGAAAATATAAATATCTTAACTAATACAATAGTTTAATTTACATTTTTTCTACATATTTTACTATTTAAAACACTTTTAAATTTCTTATACAAAACTATCAATATTTCACTATGATAAGAGAATTTACATATAAAAACAACACAGAATTCACCTATTTTGCTCATACAGTCAACCTGAAACATCTCACAAGTCAATTTTATATAAATTGTTGAAATTTACAAACATTTAAATTTCCACTTATTTAGACTTTTAATTCTACAAATTAGCGCACTGCTTTTATCTGCA